AAAAAAAAAATTTTTTTTAGGTTTTGGTGGCGAGGCGTTCTTTATGCTTATTGTTGCATTCACCAAGAGCGACTCCACTGCAGTGCTTGCCTTGATACTTGCTGTGGGTTGTAGCGGTTTCGCGATCTCAGGTCTTCCTACCAATTTTAATTTTTCAAAAGTGTCTCAAGTGACTTTCAGTAGAAATAATGAAACATCAAAATACAGTTCAGCTAGCGCAAACCGGGGAGGTGAAAACAAGGAAGGGCAGTGAGAGCACCTGCTCTTCCGGCAAGCACACATAGCAGTTTTTAGGTTCTACTGCTAACAGAACTTTGCTATTTTGATTTAGTATGCTCCATCTGCTTAATGCATTTTCAGACTGTCAGTGGCTTTTTCAGCGCGCTTCTGATAATTTTCAGATCAGCACACCGCCGATTACACTGCTGACTTCAGTGAGAATCTATTGACAGTACTGCGAAATGGCACTGACTTTTAGCAAGTTGTAATTAACTTTAAACCACCTGCCAAGCTAGGACCCCTTGTTTAGTAAAAACATTAACAATGTCGAATCAGCAGAGACTGTGGTGAAGTTTGCTTTTCTTTGTCATTGTTGCTCGCGTGACCCCAAAACAAAAATTTTTCGTGTTCGTCGGTTTCAAGCATCCAATGTGAGCGCTTCAGAAATGCCAACCAGCAAAAACTACTATTTTTTTCTTGAGTCGGTTGTTTCAATCAGAATACTACTAAGAGTTAAACATTGGTCCCAGCAAACGCCGTTTATTTTGATTCAGTAATAACCATCGGTAGCCCAGTTATCGTTTCGTCCATTACCTCAAATTTGGATTATTAAACCTTCATCACAATAATAACAATATGCGCTACATGCAAGGCATACTGCGAAAGCAAAATTATGCGTTGGTAATGTATAGGACAGATACGGAAAACAGTAGGAAGTAGGATCCAGTGTTGTTTTCGTTGTTGCTCTCCGTCATTTTCCGCTCGTCCTCGCTCGTCGTCCACGGTCACTGGAAGCGTCGAAACGATAAAATGACAAGATTTTGGACCCGAATCGAAAATGATTGATCGGTGTCAACCGGCGGTGCCCTTTGTTGGATGGAAGAAATGATGTCAAGCCATCGATCTCTGCGCTTACATCTCTGCGCATACAAGTATTCTCATGTCCAGTTACCCAAAACAAGATAGTTCGGAACATATAAAATTCGAAAAATAGCATTTCCGCTGTCACTCAGCTGTATAGTCATTAAGATTTAAGAAACATTTGTCGAGACTACCCAATCTCTGCGAAGACACTTTTACTTAATAACAACAAAATGGCCACTTTCCCCAGACGACGAATATTTAATGGCCTCTAGGACTGTCCCACTTTACGCACTCGTCGGTTCGCTGTTGTACAGGACTTTCCCCCTGCTCCGCATTCTCTTAGTTGTAAACATAGAGTATTAGATGCGAGTGGGAGTGCGAATCATCTGTACAGCTCCCTACTCACCATCTGTACAGCTCCCTACTCACGTAACAAAGTATATTTAAATAAAAAATATTCGTATAAAAAGACATTGCAAAGAGTGAGCTTTTGGTTGCGAAAGGAAGAAGAGTTTCAGACTGAACCATCGTAGTTGGGGATGCAGTTGAGTTGATACTTCGTAGTTGAGGGCACTTCCATACAACTATTGCCATATCAGCGAATCTAACCACCGATGCGGATCTAGCTTGAGTTACGAATACCTTTATGCAAATTAATCCTCTGGCTTATGTTTGTTGAGGAGCGATACATTGGCTCTCACGGTACCAGCAATGAGAGCAGCAGGGGCCTAAAAACCTCCGTCTCTGGGCTCCTTGCTCCCTAGTGCAGGACATTTTGAAAACACAACGTAAAGAAAACTGAAATTTTCCAGGTTTCAATGTGAATCACTTAGACATAGCGCCACGATATGCGGCAATTTTGATGGGCTTCTCAAACGGCATTGGAACGCTCGCTGGCCTGACCTGTCCATTCGTAACCGAAAAATTGATCGCTCGCGGTCCTCGGGGCTGGGAGAAAGTCTTCCTGCTCGCCAGTCTGATACATTTTACCGGTGTAACATTTTATGCAATTCATGCATCTGGTGAGCTACAGGACTGGGCAGAACCGAAAGAGGAAGAGCAACCGTGGTCCAGGAACGATATATATAAGACAGGTCAGTTATCCCTAACAATTGTACTCATTGCAACAGATACACGAACTATCTTTTCCATATGGCAAGAAAACAGCTCTCCGTCGAGCGAGAGGTCATTCAACCGGCTAGCGGCGGCTTATGCTGTTAGCAGGTCACTTCAGTAGTACCATTCATTGAAACAAGCTATCTGGGCTAGGGCAGAGGCGGAAGTGCTACGTCCCCGAGAAGCTAGGAGTTGTGTCCCAAAAACTACAGGCCAGTACGGCGGCAAGATAAAGGTACAACCCTGAGTCAGAGTGGCCATTTTGAAAAAGGGCCTAGAACGGGCTAGTTATCTGTCAAGTGTAGCCTTTGCACCAAACGAAAGCAACATTTAACTGGCTAGCTTGTGCTACTCCTGTCTGGTCAGATTTTGCACCTCACATTATTAAGAACGCAGTTGTCTCCCATCAAGCTGGGCGTACAGCTGTACCAACTGCTCCATTAATTCCGGTGACTGCAGTAGTCCTGATAGGTAATCAAGCGTGCTGACCACAGATGAACTAGTAATACTAATGTATTTTGCAGACAAAGCAACAGGTGGAGCTGGATACGGTGCAGCGACAAGTGCTCAGCCAATACGAATCGATCCAATCCCGGACCTGAACAAAATCTGGGACGGTATGAACGCTTAACGAGCTCTTTTCCGAAAATGTGCAGCAATTTTAAGCATCCCTTTACTTGTCACTGCCTTTTTTGCAGATAGCACAAGTCCGACAACCGACGCAAGCAGAATGCAGCAAAGTGGAACGCACATGTCGTTGAGGGACTACAGTGGCTCAGGGCGGTCAGCGGTCAGCAACGAGAACTATCAAGCATGGTGAAGCGCAGTAAAATACAAATTTTTATAAAAGTTTACTTTTTTTCGTTAATAAAGTTTTGCATGCAGTATGCAAGCAGCACCCTACAATATCGGCCAGTATGGACATAGGCGCGGCACAGGGGCAGATACATACATGCTCGGCTCGACACCTGTATGACTTTCAAGCAAACGAATGTGACACCGCAGAAAAGAACCTGGTTAAAATCCCCAGTTCATTTTAATTACGCATGAAAACGGCTGAAAAAAAAAAAAAAAAAAAAAAAAAAAAAAAAAAAAA